GGGGGGGGGGGGTGTTATGTAGTGTCATTCAGTGAGAGAAACTTCTTACAGATTTAGGTATCTAGCTTTGAAATTTAAATTGAGTCATGTGTACTGTTCCTTTAAATTTACATTGTACTTCTTTGCATAAATGCTGAAATGGTTATATTAAGGTTATCATTACAGCTATACGACCACAGGCGGTTGTGTGACACGAGTGTGGTTCTCGACCCATGCAGAGTCCCCGAGCAGTGGGCCGTCCCTCGTGGCTCACACCTGCGTAACTTTCGGCTTGAACCACCTGGAGATGGCCGAGGGGGAGGTGAAGACACTCATCATGGCTGAGCTGCAGAAGATCCTGCCCTGCCTTCCGGAGCCAGCCAGCGTCGAGGTCCGAAGATGGAGGTACTCGCAGGTGAGGGGGGGGAGGGGGCCAAAAGCAACCCGTCAAGGTGGGATCAGGGGATGGTCCCCTGTGCCTCTACCCTCTGCTCACATCGATAATGGCGCCAGCTCACAAACGGGCTGTACGCGTTTCTGCTTACAGAATATCTGCTTTATATCTGTTTCTGGTCCAAATCCATCAAAGATCTGTTTGCTTGGCTGGGACACAGAACTTCACGCGTAAAGACCTTCCCTGTTCAGGACCTCACTTTCGAATGTCACTCGGGTGTCTAACGCGGCCAGTGAGGATTTTTTTTTACCTGCATTTTTTTCATCTGCAGTATAAACTAGATCAGCTCACTGCACAAATGTCATCTGTGCCCACATATGGTGACGTGGCAGTGATTTCTGGGGCTTTCATACTTTAAAAGTCATCAGACAGCCCGTATTCCTTTGATAACGAAAGCAGAACATGCTACGACCGTACCGAGCAAAGGGAGAGAATTCCCGGCCCGGCCTGTGACGGCTCCAACGGCTCTGGGATCGCATGAACTCCCGCATCCGAAATGCAGCGATACCAGTTTCCGGGCGACCCTCCCTCCCTGAAGGGATACCCTCCCCCCCACCCCAGCCGTGAGAAGCTAGATGACAGGGTGTGTGCGTCTCCTCTGTCCTCTGGCCTCTGCTCCCCCCCCCCCC